TTCTTTCAAAGTTTTGCAAGTACGATTTCCAATAAACGTTAATGTTTACACCTAATACATTCCCTGGTTTCAATTTTTATCCTTTTTTTCCTTCTATTTTCACAAATAGCGATAGAAAGGTGGCCAGCCAGCATTTGGAACCTGAAAAATGTAAACAGCCTCTGGCTTTGTGCACAAATGGGTGAAGATGCATTATACACATTTTTTTAAATACAGACCAAATTTTTTCAACACAGGATCCGCGTTACTATATTTAGCTCCAAAAACTGGCTCTCCCAGCCGCAGGATTCAGTAAAGCCTCCAACTCTTCTCTCCTTTGACTCCCGGAGTTACTGAAACAGCAACCACAAAAGGTTTACTACCCTTTTATTTTGCAATTGAACTTTTACAAAGACACCCCCCTCTCCTCCCCCAGAATGGAGCAGAACCATCTCCGGGGTGTAGGCAGCACCGCTTCGAGGAGACCGGGGTTCCCAGAGTCTGCAGAACGCCTCAGAGAGCCTGTTCCCCTACTTTTTCTCGCACCCCCAAAGCGCGCCTCCCGGATCTACTCCCCCCGCACCCCCATCCCGCGGCCCCGCACGCTCCTGCAGCTTGGGGAGCCAGCCACGTAGCTCGGGAGCTAGGACGGGAGGGAAACACCGAATACTTGAGGGGGCTGGCGCCGCGGACAGAAGGGGGGGGCCCCCCCGAGAAAAGAGGCTTTTATCTGCCCAGCCCTAAGCTTCTTCGCAGGCGCGCCCGGGCAGCGCCCTCTTGCAGAGGATGCGCTGGCACAGGTCCCCTGCGGCTGAGGCGGGAAGGAGGAGCCTAACCGGGGGGCGGAGCACACGCTCACCCTCGCTCCCCCCGCCCCGCCCCCGTCTCAGGCCTCCACTCGGGGTTTATTTGTTTACAAGCGGATTACGTCAGCTCCTCCTCTTTCCTGCGTCTGGACCGCCCCGGGCCCTTTTTCCCGCCCCCTCCGGCTCCGAATGTGCTTGCGTCACAATGGTGCGATCTGCGGATTGGCTGCAGTCGGCCGTCACGCTCCAGCTACGCCACTTCCTTTCCGCGGCGCTATAAAAAGTGCTGCACGGCGCCCGCATCTCTTCGCCCCTCGGAGCTGGAAATGCAACTGTTGGGAGCTTCGGAGGCTGCGGAGCTGGACGCGGAGGCGGCTGGGAGGTCCGAGCGATGTGACCAGGCCGCCGTCGCTCGTCGCTCTCTCCTGCCGCCTCCCGTCTCGAAAAAATTTTACTCTAAAGAAAGGAGAAAAAAAAAGCCGCCCGCCCCTCACGCCCCTCTTCCTCTCAGCCCTCTGACCCGTGAGGGAGCCCGGGGTGGCTCCGCCGTCGGGGCCGCGCCGCCGAGCCCCGGCCGCCCCGGGCCGCCCCCGCCCGCCGCCCCCATGCATCCCTTCTACACCCGGGCCGCCACCATGATAGGCGAGATCGCTGCCGCCGTGTCCTTCATCTCCAAGTTCCTCCGCACCAGGGGCTCACGAGCGAGCGACAGCTGCAGACCTTCAGCCAGAGTCTGCAGGAGCTGCTGGCAGGTGAGCGGGGCGCGCCGGCGGGCGCGGGGGAACGCGGGGGGACTCGGGGGACGCGGGCCGCACACCCCCGCGGCGGCCGGGGCCGGAGCCGGGCCGTCGGGCCGCGCGGGACGGGAGCTGGCGCGCTGGGCGGCCGCTAACGGCGGGTCCGGCCGGGGCGAGTGTTGGGGGCTGGGCCGAGGGCGCCCCCTCCTTTCCCTTCCCAGCCCCCGCGCCTGGCCCGCCGAGGGGCGCAGAAAACAGACGCGCAACAAAGAAACTAAAGCCCACCCGGGCGGGAGCCGCGGGCCCCGGACCGTCCGCGGGTTGGGGGACAAAGGAGCCGTGGGTTTTGGGGTGCGTTCGACGCCGCCTCCCACCCGGACGTCTCCCTCCGGCCGTGGGGAGCCCGGCGCCCCAAGCCCAGGGGTGGGCAGCCGCGCCGCTGCCCCGAGCCAGCGCCGGACGGACGTGCCGGCTCTGCGCCTCCTACCTCGGTGCCCATTAATCATCGGATTTGTCACCCGGACAATTACAGCCCTGCCCAAAGCGTGGTTTAGGGTTGCTTGTTTTTCTTCCCTTTGGGGTTAACAGTCCGGTGGCGCTTCTCTTCCCCAAAGCCATAAACCCCATTGTGTGCGGCGGGGGCGGGGTGGAGAAAGTAAACAGGCTCCCGCCTGGCCCGCGCTGCGCTGCGCGCCGGGTTCTTGGTTTGGGCGCTCCAGGCACGGGGTTCCTGGAGGCTGTTGGGGGCCCCGTCCCGTGCTGCTGCTCAGCGCCCCCAAATCCATCCTGCCCCGGCTCTGAATGCAGCCCCGCGCAGGCTCGGGGATGAATGCAGTGCCGGGCGGTTTGAAAAGTTGCTAGTTTTCATGAGCACTTCGCCAAGGCGTCAGCGGGAGAGGGAGCCTGGAGGGGGGCGCTCACTGTAACGATCTAAGCATTGTTTCTTTGCCCTTCTTTCCTTGTGTAGAACATTATAAACATCACTGGTTCCCAGAAAAGCCGTGCAAGGGATCAGGTTACCGTTGTATCCGCATCAACCATAAAATGGATCCTCTGATTGGACAGGCAGCACAGCGGATTGGACTGAGCAGTCAGGAGCTGTTCAGGCTTCTCCCAAGTGAACTCACACTCTGGGTTGATCCCTACGAAGTGTCCTACAGAATCGGAGAGGATGGCTCCATCTGTGTGCTGTATGAAGCCTCGCCAGCAGGAGGTAGCACTCAAAACAGCACCAACGTGCAAATGGTAGACAGCAGAATCAGCTGTAAGGAGGAACTTCTCTTGGGCAGAACAAGCCCTTCCAAAAACTACAATATGATGACTGTATCAGGTTAAGATATAGTCTATGGATGGATCATCTTATAATGGATGGATAAATTTGATTTTTGCTTTGGGTGGGCTCCTCTTGGGGATGGATGATGAAATTTAAACCATGTCACAGCTGTGAAGATCTGGCACAAGATAGAGTGGTAAAAAAATTTTTTTTAAGTGACAGTGCCATAGTTTGAACAGTACCTTTCAATGATTTAATAGCCTGTGAGTCCAAGTAAATGATCACTTTGTTTGCTAGGGAGTGAAGTCCTAGGGTGGTTTCAGTTTCTCCCAGACGGTCTACCTAAAGTTTTTCATCAGTACCTTGGCGCAGATCTATTTTAAGGTACCTTTCTCTGCAGTAGACCTTGCAGAGGAAATTTGCACTATTACACTTGATAATTGTTAACCTTTTTGGCAGCTCAATAGGAAAGCTCAACATTTTAAACATGGTAGTACTGGAAAATTTATGACAAGACTTTTACCTAGCACTTAAATATGTATAAATGTACATAAGACAAACTAGTAAGCATGACCTGGGGAAATGGTCAGACCTTGTATTGTGTTTTTGGCCTTGAAAGTAGCAAGTGACCAGAATCTGCCATGGCAAACAGGCTTTAAAAAAAGACCCTTAAAAAGACACTGTCTCAACTGTGGTGTTAGCACCAGCCAGCTCTCTGTACATTTGCTAGCTTGTAGTTTTCTAAGACTGAGTAAACTTCTTATTTTTAGAAAGTGGAGGTCTGGTTTGTAACTTTCCTTGTACTTAATTGGGTAAAAGTCTTTTCCACAAACCACCATCTATTTTGTGAACTTTGTTAGTCATCTTTTATTTGGTAAATTATGAACTGGTGTAAATTTGTACAGTTCATGTATATTGATTGTGGCAAAGTTGTACAGATTTCTATATTTTGGATGAGAAATTTTTCTTCTCTCTATAATAAATTGTTTCTTATCTTGGCATTTTAATCAATCTCTTGTCATGATTATAGAGGTTTAGCAAAAGTATTTCTCAGAAGACTTAGGTTCTGTAAGCTGTGTGAACGTCAGCTGCACACTGGTCATGCTGAAAAACATGGATAAGGAGTAAAGATGATCTGTCAATACATCTTTAGATGTTAGAGGAAACACAGGGGTAACATTTTTTTTTTAGAAGAAAAATCATAAAGTCAAAACATGGACACATTCCCAGGCTAATCTCATGAAATGAGGATAAGAGACAAAGGTAACATCTATCAAAAAGAGTGATACTCAAAGGATTACATTTCATTGCTTCCCTGTTGAAGTGAAGATGTAAATGTTCTATTTTCGCCCACCTTTGAAAAACAATTATTTTACCCCTTGGATTCCATGTTCATTTAGAAAATCCTGGGGCATATGTATGACCTATAGTCTTAAAAGAACAGGCTAATTACTGCAGAGAGATTGGTTGCTTTTTGCTTTTCATCAGCTGCAAGATTTACATTAGAAATCACTTAAGCTGGAATCCCAACAAAAGGTATGTTGATGAATTTTTATTCTCAAAGTTGAAATGATGTTTTTGATTCCTCGTCGTCAAAGAGTCTCATTCAGACTTATTTCTGATAAATTCTAGGAATCTCAATGACCAAATGAGCATTTGCTGCAGTGTCGTTTACTCCACCGCTACGTACAGTACAAAGACTTGGTAATTCTTTGGTTGTAGAGGATAGTGTGGTGTTTTGGGTGAAAATTGACAGAAATTTTGAGTTTTTTAATTCTCTGTACAGTTGAGTAACAGCATGTAGTGACTTGTTAATATGCAAGTGGACATGTTCAGGCTAGAATATGCAACCTAGGCTACTTGAAATCAGTAATTATCTAAAATGAGTGATAAATTTGGGAATTATTTTCTAACTATAAATATAAATTAGTCTGGCTGTAAACTGTATGGGAATACACAGTGGAATATGCAGGCATTTGGAATAGAAGTGGTGCCCGTACTGGCAGGCCGTCCTTGAGAGTTTATAACCACAAAACATGGACCACTGTTAGTAATTCATTGTGGTTTTGTTTTTCAGTCTCTTGTAGTGCCCCCCAGATTTTGAAGCTTGAATTTACAAAAATATGAAAAACAACTGGTAGTTAACAGTTTTCACACAGGTCTCACCCCCGATGCTGACTCCTTTTGTTTACCAAATGCATTTCATCTGGGAAACTCCTTTGGAGCTTCTTAACTCAGGAAGCTTTGCACATTCGATCATTTCGACCTAAGGCAAAGTAAGGTTGATTTCTAGACAGTTTAGGAATTTTTTTTTTTTTGAGTGGGAATATATTTTAGTACCTAAAACTTGTCTTAGCCTTTTTCTCAAATGAAGAATTGTTTTTGAAGGTCTTCACATCAAATCTTTTTGTTACTGTAAGAAAAATTTGGTGGGAAGAGAACTTTATTTTAGAAGGAAGGTGATGTTTGCCATGTAAGGAGCTGTGAAGTTCATCTTTAAAAGGTTTTCAGACGTCACTGAGACCTAGCATCCAGCTGTTTCCTGTGACTTTAAACCTCACATTCCCCAGACAGTTGTCTACAGTAGCTGTTTGATATTTCCAGTTCATTGATATTTCTAGTTCATTGCTTCTGGGGGATGTTTTGCCTGGCTGTTTTGATAAAAACATTTGAGTGTCTGCCTTATGCAGATGCATGTGTGTGCCGGGCCTACTTAGGTAGTTATTTATACCAAATTGTGTGCTTTTTAGTAGTGATATAATTTAAAAGGCTTTTACACTACCTGAGTTTTAAAAAATAGTTTCTTAGAGATGCTTTTAAGAAATGACGACTGCTTCCAAAATTATTACTTGCCATTGGCACCTGGAATTCATAGTTACTGGCAGTAAGTTTAGGAATGTTACTTTGAATTTTCAGTTTAAAAGTTATTTCCATTTTTCCAAATGTAAGTACTCTGTGTAATGATAAAGCAAGTGTATGGCAAGAGTTCTCCTAGCTCCTAGAGAATAATGTGGCTGTTTCCCTCTGAAATCTGGAATGGGAATCACATGTCCTTACCCTTAATTTGCAGTATTTCTGTAGTAGTAGACTGGAAAGGCCACCAGAAAATTGCTTTCTGGTACTGTTGCACAAATGGCTTCCTTAAGTTACTATAACTCACAAATTTCCATTTTGTTTTGTTATAGGTATTACAGATCTTGGAATTGGCCTTTAAGTTTAAAAGAAAACAGTATTCTTGACTCTTACAGTGTTTAATGACTAGAGGTTTTCAATCTCCCTTTAATCTTGGGAACAAATACATCTGCTGTTATATTTTTTTCCCCTTTAGTGATTTTTTTAAACATTCTGGTTCTCCCCTTTACAGAAAAGAAATATAATAGCTGAAGCAGTATTTTGTATATTGAAGGCTAAACATACCTTGCTTTGCACCTCTATTAGCAAATGATGTGATAAGATGCTATTGGTAAGCTGTGTGGGGACAATTTGCCAACTGTTTGATCTATGCAGAGGAGAATTCAAAAAGTATTGGATAATCTAAAACTGAGTAGATTTCTTGTTTATCTGAAGGCATGTAGTTTCCAGTTTAGTCTCAGCTCTATCTCTGCAGTTGAACTTTACATATGACTGCTGGACAACAGTTTATTTTTCATGGTTAGAATGTAAGTTTGAAAAACTACTTTGTAGTAAAATAGTTTATACTTAAACTGAACCATTTAACTGAGTTCTTAAGGTATTTACACAAATATACACGAGGAATAGACTTGAGGAATATATTATGAGTTATAATTTCTGGTTATTTCTATGGATATTTGTATTTTCTTCTGCGAATAGCATAAGGTTAAGGAACATTGTTAAACAAGATGTTAACTTTCGTATTTCTGAAATGCTCCTAAACATGTAAGACATACTCACATTTAGTGAAGATTGACACCATTTTTCTTCATCAATTTGTCATGTATAATTGACACCAGTTTTTTGAATTGCAATTTTAACATGGCTTATACCCTTCTTTTTGCACTACCCAGTGTTTCAAACAGGAATAGGTAAATGGATTCTAATTTGAAAACAAAATTCTGTCATCTCACCGATGAATAATCTCACAAGGAATATTTTCGAGTTCAACTTCTGACTTTTATATAAAGCTATTCGTGATATTTAACATTTTTGTGTTGAAGATGCGGTGTTCTCTTGGGAATTCTCTATAATTATAGCAGATAATACTGAAAGATGAAGTGATTCAAGACTAGGGTTGGATAAAAAAGGAAAGAATGTGGGAAAGGAAAGCAGGAAACCTAACTGAGATGGAGGAATTTAAAGGATTGGTAATAAAAAATGCATCTGCTGCAGCCATAGGTTTATCAAAAGAGGTTTGTCCAGCAAAGTCCTTTGGCAGAGACTTTGGGAAATACTGCTGTAATTCATGGATCTGGGACAAAGTCTGCACTCAATTTGTGAACATGCAAGTCAAAGTGGTAGTAAGATTTATGGTCCATGCTAAGTGGAAATTGGGCTGGGGGAGGACTCAAAAGGCAATTTTAAATTAATAAATAGTGCTTAATGTTTTTACTTTTCAGTATTTTAGGACAGCAGCGTATTTTTTTTTTTTTTAAAGCTGTTAGACATCCCTTGATTTCAGCTTCTTGTACCTTTAAGGTTTGAAGGCCATTTTTGACCTCTTTCCTGATGAAAGGAGGAGGATTAAGGACAGCCTGGACACCTAACATCACAAGAGGGACCACCAGGCAGGAAGAAACCATGGCATTAACTGCATTCCTGTATTTAGAAAATGCTTCAGCAAACACTGTTACTTCAGCTTGCAACATAGACGAAAGATTACTTACCCATGGGGCATTTGTTTTTAATGCTCAGGACATGTCATCCCCAAAGTCGTTTTGTGTCATTCCTTTATAATATTTTTACATACATTTTCATGTGTGTATGCAAAAGTACACGGTGCATTTTACAAATGCATACCATGGGGATAACTAACAATTTTTGATGGGGTGCATGCTCCAAAATATTTAGTAGATGCTGTTTCTTTAGGTCATTACTACAGGAGATTAGTGTTTGGCCCTCCTAAGAGTAACTCATGATTATTTTTAAAATTAGGAGTCTGAAAGTAGAAGCTATTGTAGCAATCCAAAGAGGATGATCTTGTTTAATTTTAGCTTAATTGCTGAAGTCTTTATTTGTAAAATTAAGCTACCTTTTACAGCCAACAGATACCCAGAATTAACTGTTAGAACCAACTCATGCTCCTATCTATTACTCTTATAATTCATATTTTATGTTTTTAGACATTTTCTTCTCACATGTTAAGCCGGTGTAGTATTTTCATATATTACATGGTAAAAGAACTGAGTTAATGTTGTAGATCAGTGATTAAATTAGTTTTAGCAATTATTCTTCATCTTAAGACCTCTGTACTTTTACCCTCTCATTCTGAGGAATTCCTACATTTTTATAGAGGAAAGATTACTAAGAAATTTTTTGAAAATATCCATCCTATAAATGCATGTAAACTAAAATAATATTTGACCATTAATTGCACTATAAACCAGGTTGAATGTTTTCCAGTCTTAATTTATGGCAGTTTTGTTTCTTCAAGTCAACAGACTAAATGTAATTGTATTTCCTATAGATTGTACTTGTGAGCCTTCAAGTTACCAATATACATTCTTACTTGACCTTCCAACAACTGGATCAGGTTGGCAGGTAGGTAGGCCAGTATTTTTTAATCTTTATTTTGTGGACAGAAAATTGAGGCTTAAGGGAGTTTAAGTAATATGCCCCAAAGCCAAACAGCTAGTGAATAGCTAATTTGTCATTTGAACTCAGGTCTTTCTGATCTTAGAAACCAAGCTTTATAAAACTGGTGTATATTGTGTATGATTTATTTACCTTGTTTCACATTTTTGGAACATACATGTTTTCACTTCTCATTGCTAGTTAGACATCTTTGGTTATTTCAGCCTTGAAATCCTTTCGCTCTCCATGCCCAGCAGGCACAGAACTGTCTTTAAAACTAGGTTTCGGTTCTTAGGAGGCAATTGGGATTTAGTACAAAGAATATTATTCTTGGACTCAGAAGAATGAGTTGGAATGTAGGCATGTACCAGCTCTCAGCTTATGATTTGGGATAAGTTGCTTAGCTTCTCTGAGCCCCTCGCTGTTAGGTAAAACTGAGGCTAAAAATAAGTCTGTTGTCAAGGTTAAACGTAGGAAAGCATCTAGCAAGAATGGCTGGATTCCTGGAACTGGGATTCTCATAGCATAAAGGCAAACAGCAGATTGTTTTCTTGAAATTTTGATGACATCACTGTGATTATCTTTAGAGTTTTTTAGCCTGCGTTAGCCAGTAGTTGTAAGAAATATACTTGTATTTTTGAAATAATATAGGAAGGGTATTCAGTTGTTACCCACTGCCCCCCTATTTCCCCATTTTAAGGGTGGAAATACAGTTGACCTGGGCTTTGCATATTTATTTTATAGGCTTTCCTCTGCTGGGTCATTAACATTGGTTTTCAGAGCTATTTTCTCAGTAAAGGATGAATGCTTCAGGTCTTTTGTCTATGTTGAAGACACCTTAAATGGGGAGATGAAGTGACACTATCAAATGTGTATCAGTGCAGCCCTGGACAATGCACATTTACATCCATTATCTTCTTTAATCCTCACAGTGTCCCTTTGCTATAATAAAGTTGACTTTTCCCAGGGTTTGCAGTTCTTCAAGCCATTTGTATTTGAGCATGCTTTTGCAAGAGATTTTCAAACATTGGTTTTCACATGAAACTCAGTGGTTCTCAATCTCTTCCTAATCTAGAGTGCTGTGAGTACTTCCTTCCCTGCAAAGAAAAGCAACCTTTTTATAAGTTATCAGTTCAGGTTTGAGTTTCTTCTTGTGATGTAACCTGATGCAATGTTTGCTTGAATCACTAATCATGTAATTGATTTCTTCTAGTCAGTCATAGATGAGTCAGTGATCACATGTTCTTTTTAGTTTAAACTCATTTCCCTTTTTCTAGGTGAAGATCTTTATCAAATGGCTTGCTGCTGTGTTGTCTAGAGCAGTTACTGCACACCTCAGTGAAGCAGGTACAGAGTCAGCAGAGCTTCTTGCTAATTTATTTTGCAACAGTCTAGGAAACAAAGGGTCCCATTTTTAAAGGAACTCAAGAGACTTCCAGGCAAAATTCCTTTGATCCTTTTCAGAAGTCTTGCATCTGAAAGCCCCAGTGTGGTTCAGATCCTCTTTAGAGTTGTGTGGAGCCTTGTAAATTAGTCAGTGTGTTTCTATAATATTTAAGATTGTGCTGTAAGAATGAGAGGTTGGAGCTAGTTAAAGCAAGGGATAGGTGGCCAGTGTTGCCAGATAGTAGTTAGGATTATAGAGTTAAAGATGGGGTCACTTACATAATACTGAAACATACAAGCTCTAGATTCTTGAATTTCCCCCATTACCATGTCCTTTAATAAGTCTCCTGGGATCCTTCTAATGGTTGAAATAAATGATGTTTTGTCCTATACCTGTCCTTTCATTTAACACATTCTTAATGTACCTCTGTGTGCCAAATACTGTGCTAAAGGAAATGATAATGCATAAAAACTGACTGTCTCTATCCTCAAGGGGCTTAAAGCCTAGTGATGAAAATTACCGAACATGTAAAAATGGAGCCCGGGACAGATAATGGAAAAGAAACTGGTTGCATGGTGTCCTGAGCACTGTCGACCTTACAGAGAGAGATGTCTGCCTTAGAAAGCCTTCCTAGAGGCAGAGACACGAGCTAAGATCTGAAGCATGAGTAGGAGCTTAAGAAGCCAGGGAAGAGGGAACAGAATGTATAGTGAATGGAAGGTATTGAAAGAAATCCAGTGTGCACTGCGCTGGGGGGCAGTTACGCAAGTGAGGCCAAGTCATGTGGGACTTTACAGGAAGAGTGACCATATAATTTGATGAATAAATTTATCAGCCAGACTGAGACATATGAGGAAAACATGGTGCTATTAATAATTAAACCCGGGCTGTAAGCATCAGCCAGGACATAAAGGCACCTCACTGTTACAGGCCATGTAAAGAGTCTTATCTCTTTGACTAAAAGCACTGCAGCTAGCGGCTTGTGGATTTCGTGAGGAACACGTCAAGAGGATAGAGCACCTTCAGTTCGAAAGGAACCCAACTAGGACTAAAAGAGTTTTACAGGACAGCTAGGCTGTTAGGGTTTGTTCTGTTCTAGATATCAATGACTTTCATGCTTTAAAGGTTTAGCTTGGAAAGTTGGAGTTTAGTGTGAGCTGCTAGACTGGATGCATGTTTGCGGTATATGAAATAGCACAATTGAAACATTTTTGAGTATTTACACATTTTCTTCTTATAGCACTTGTCATTTTTGCCGTGGGTGTGTATTTGAGTCGAATTTAAAAGAGTAGTTTTATTGTTAGTTTACGTTTTATGTGTATTTCTTGAACCTAACTTTTAAAAAGGTGTGGGCCACTTAAAAATTTTTTTCTTTAAATTCATGTAAACATTTTCTGCAGTAAATTGTATAGTGACTTTCATACACCCATGTAATCCACACTCCAAGTAAGATACAGAACCTTTCTACCACCCCAGAAAATTCCTTTTTGGGGCACTTAAAATTTGTTTATGAAATACAGTTGTGGAGCCAGGCCTCAAATTAGAAATAAGTTGTTTTTCCTCTCTTTTTATAACTATTTTTGCTTCCTAAACATGCAGTAATGGTTACTTTAAACATGATGCAAATTGTCGCCAGAAGAAACCATTGCTTTTCAACTAGTTATGATTTAGTGGTTACTAATATAGTGCATCCCCGTCCAATTTGCTATGGCTTTTTAGTGTTTCAAAATGAATAGTAAAATTTGAGTCATATCCCTATCACTGACTCACAAGCTTACTAAGGATTGCCTGTTGTTGTTTATTAGCCTAAACGTCACAATCTTGATCAATCCAAAGATTGTGGTAATGCCAACTTTCCACAATGCTCCCCCTACTTTTAGTCTGATTGTGTCACTTTAGGGTAGGTTTTTCCGGTAAGACAACTGTTAAATTTATATTTATAGCTGAGTCCTAGCCTTGAATACTTCCTTTCATCTCAAAATTCTCAACTCCACTTGCCAGTGAGCAGTTAGAATATTGACCTAAGTTATAGTAGAATTAGTCGTGAAAATGATTGAATTCAAGAACTGTGAATCATTGTGTTTAAAGATTCTTGAAAGCAGAGATGCCAAAACTTGTTCTAAAGAGACTGTTCATGAGTTTGGGATCTCCTGAGGATTAGGAAGAGGAGATAAATCACCAATGATTAAAAAGGAAATTAAGTCTTTTCCCTATACTGTCTGACTTGGAATCTGAGCTTGAATCAACTTTTTTTTCTTAAGGTCAGTGTGTTCTGTTTAGTAAAGACTTTGCTGCTGAAGTGATGGTGGTAAATGACTTAAACATTTCTTTCTCTGCAGTATTAATATTTCAGGGCTTTTCCCCACCCCACCCACACCATTTTGGAAAGAATGGCAAGTCAGGTGAAGATGAAAGGAAGGTTTTAGCCAAATTTGCTCTGTGGAGACTTGTCAACAACACATTTCTAATTAGAGAAGTCCACTGTCTGATTACATCTTCATATCACTAGTTGAATCCTTATTTTAAAAATGTTTCATGCATTTAGCACAGGAAAATTCAAAAGGGTGTTTTCATTGTACACATGTTGGAATGATTTTTCCTTCATGTCTCTTAATATCAAGGCTTCCCAGTAGCACTAGTTAGCTCTAGACCCTCTGTTCTGCTGCTCTGATTCTGTGAAATTCTGACCTGATGCTGCCGGCACTTTGTGTAGACATGCTATAGAAAATACTCAGTGTTGGGGTATAAATTTGGTTATTTGCATTCCTTATCAACGGAGAATGCAAATGTACTTTCTTTAAATGTGGTTTGCCATGAATTCTACTAAATGCTTGCAGCCCAGAAGTAAAGATTTCTCCTGTGTGCATTCCTTCACTCTTTGTTACAGACCTTTAAGGGTAGGTAGACATTTGTTCCTGTAGTCAACTCTGATCATGGTAGAGTGATGTCATACTGCTATCGGCCAATTTGAGGCTAGAATTCAGGTTTGGCTGAGGTCAGACACCAGCTCTTAACCAATATCACATCTTTCTGGTCTGCTTTCTGGTCCCATTGCATTATGATTGTTTGCATTCATGTCTGACTTGCCCACTAGTCAGGAAGACTTGAAAGCCAGGGATTCTTAGACCAGACTGCAGAAGATTCTAAAATTAGTTGATCTGTTCATTCATAAATATTGAGCACTTACTTTGTGTTCAGAATTGTTCTAAGCTCTGGGAGATAGAGCAGTGAACCAAAATTTCTACCCTCCAAGTGGGGGACTGAAAGAAGCCACTAAGATGTGTGATCTTTCAAAAAGGGGTAGTTTTAAGGAGCAGTGCTGCTGTGCTGATGCTGTGACTGCACGCCACGGTGCAGCCCTGTGCGAGAGCCCTGTGGAAATATATGGGGTGTTGGGGGGCAGGGAGGAGGGGTAGTGAATGGCAGGTTGCTATTTTAAGTCAAGGAAGGCCTCACTGATAAGCTGATATTTGAGGGAAACGGCCAAGGAGATATCTGGGAAAAGAACATTCCATTCAAATAATTCCGTGATTTCCAGAGTCATCCAGGCTCTCAATTCTCCCAGATGCATCATTATCAGTGGGCAGACTTGGGCGCTCTGGCAGTTGCTCTTCTGAGTAATTTTTTACTTATTTTTTTTTTTTTTGGTATTATATGCCACAGGAATAAGCACAACTTTGATAGCTGGAAAACCTGCTGAGTTTTTCTAACCCCTCTTCCCCCCATTTAAGAGAGAATGGCAAACCCAAATCAACAGGCTGATAAGATCTGAATTTTTTTTTAAAGTCTTATATGTTTAACTCTATTCAATAAATATGAAATGAGAACTGGTGTTCAGTGTAATGATACAGGCCCAGCAAGGTGCTCAGTGTCTTGTTGGGATGTATCCCTGGGTAAGCTAAAAAGCAAACATTGGAAACAAAAAGGACTTTCTTACACTTAGATAACTGGAAAATTCAGTTATCCAGAACGCCTGTTCCTGACAGATCCTGAGATTACAGTACAGGGACTAGTTATTTAGAGCCCTGTCATTTCATGGATGAGACTGGAGATAAAAGCAAGTTTGTATTACCTTCATCATACACTCAAAAATCATGGACTCCTTACTCTTTTTGGTGCTGGCATGTACCTGGTATATTCTTGAGTGACAGAACGTACTTGGGGTTAGGGTATACAATTGAATATTTGCATTCCTTATCAAAGGTGATGCACATGTAACTTTCTTAAACGTGTTTTGCTATGAATTCAGCCTAGAAGCTTGTAGTCCTAGGAGTAAAAGTATCTCCTTCAAAACAGTTTGAAATTTGCTTTCTCTCCAGTCTAGGTTATCTTGCTTTTGCTGTATAAAAATCGAATCAGTATTTTTAGCATTTCAAGGTGAAGGCCAAGTCATTCAGATATGATTCTCATCTCAGAGTTTAAACAAAGCTTAAGATGAGGCAGAAATCTGTTTCTGGGTTTGAGATAGGTTCCTTCTCTATGCCTCTAAATATAAACCAGATAATTCTCACATTTGACTAGAAAATGGCAGGATGAGATTGAGGTTCAAAGGAAAGAGAAAGAGTGAAAAAAGGGAAAATGTGCCTTCAGAAACAATGATATTATTATGTAGGATTTCACATAAAGGAGTATTTTATCCAAATCAAGTATTTAGCGCAGATGCCCTGGGATTTTGGGAGGGGTCATTTACATGGACTCAAACTCCAGACATTTACATTGTTAATTATTTCAAAATTTTGTAAGTATTTGCCTAATGACGATAGGGTCACAAAGAAATTTCCCTAATGTCAAATCTGGGAACACAAATAAAATAACCATATTAATTTGTAACTCAATATCATGGATACAGAGAGTGATTACAGCCTTGTGAATCTGCTAATAATATTTATTGCAATAATCTGTGGCCTCTCTCCCAGAAGATTTCTCAGATTCATCTTTGCAGATTAAAGTTCATTCTCTTATCAAAATGCTGCTATGATTTCCTGGCTATGAAAGGTATGTTTTTGCCCTCTGTTTTCCTGAGAAAAATCCTGCCTTCATTTCTTAATGAGTGTCCTTTGTTTTTCTTCCACCTACTCACGCTGAACTTGTCGACTTAGATAGGAAAACACTCCACTGTGTAGAATAAAACAAAAACATCTAAATGTGTGGTTGGACAAGCTTATTTTTAAATTTAGTCATTTGATGTAATACTTTGTGTTAGGCAATAATTAAAGTTCTGATAAAGCTAATTGAAATGGAGTTATTTAGTTGACTCTTTCATAGTTGAAAGGTTTTAGGGTGTTATTAGAATAAAAAGATATTTCAGTATCTCAAGTACAACTCTGGCTTAATATAATCTTCATTTTCTGTGAAAACTTTTACTTTACTAGAAATTTATTCTGGGGGAATAAGACAGACATGTGGAGGGGAGAGGGTATGTGGGTGTCTTACAGGAGAGTGGAGTTTGGGGGGTTAGAGGATTAGCACTGGGAAGAGGAGAGAAAATACAATTTAATACATGACAGGAAAGGAAAATCTGTGTTTATGCTTGAGTGTCGTGTGTGTGTGCCCATGTATGCCTTAGATTAGTGCAGGGAAAGAATGATGATTATCTGTCTATCTGTCTATCTACATTTAATATTTTTCTGATGCCTGGCCACAGATTTTGATAAAAGAAAGCTTAAAACAATTCTTTTCTTTTTTTTTAAAGATTTATTTATTTATTTAAGCACTGGGGTGCAGGTCAGAGGTGCGGGAGAGTGAGAGAACCCACCAGAGACAGAGCAGGGAGCAGAACAGGCAGAAGGACCGAAATACACTGCTGAGGAGAGCAGTGGGCGTGACAGGAGAGGTCTGCTGCGCCATGTGGGCATCTCCCCGGCCAGTCAGGAATCAAACCGGTGCCGCAGAGGTTGCGGACAGCTTCACAGCGCTGTGTTCAACCTGCTGTGCCACCAGGGAGGCCCCCAAAACTATTCTTTAACAGTGGCTATCATTACACCAGAAGAGTATGCCCCTAGTTACATTACATTTAAAATCATATCTACTGGTTTAGGCTTGAGCACCTGACAAAATATATGAACCAAGAGAGGGGGTAGATTTTTCATAAACTTTCCAAATCACCAACATTTAAGGAGTGCCTGTTGTGTACAGAGATGATTTTTCCTTGGAGTAGAGATTTTTCCTTGGAGGAGATGATTTTTCCTTGGAGTTTCCAAGTTGGAAACAGCCTATATAAAAATTGACTAATTAGGGCCTCCCCTGGTGGCGCAGCGGTTGAGCGCTGGGCTGCGAAGCTGCCCGCAGCCTCTGCAGCACTGGTTCGATTCCCGGCCACCGGCCAGGGTCCCACATGGCGCGCAGACTGCTCCTGCCCTGCCGCCCGCTGCTCCCCTCAGCAGTGTACTTCGGTCCTTCTGCCTGCTCTGCTCCCCGCTCTGGCTCTGGTGAATTCTCTCACCCTCCCGTGCTTCTGCCTGTACCCAGTGCTTGTATAAATAAATAAATAAATCTTTAAAAAAAAAGACTTTAAAAATAAATAAATAAATAGATAGATAGATAGATAGATAGATAGATAGATAGATAAATAAATAAATGATAAAAATTGACTATATTTGCTCCTGGGTGGTGAAGTTTATCAAAAACTAGCATTTAAGGTCAAAACTATAATATTAAAGGATGAGCTAGCAGATTGTGCCTTGCATTCTAGAAAGAAGGGGTAATGTTAAAATCCTGCCTTTAAACTTAATCCTAGATCAGCTTAGCATCTAGGAGACTAACTAGACACAGTGACTGGGGTGGGGCTACCCTCTTTTCGAAGGGCAGAAGGCAGACACTGAGGTTACTGTGTCTGTGGGAGACTGATTGGTGTGAGCTTACTTTTTTTTTTTTTTTTTTTTTTCAGGCATTAGTTTGGTCACCAAGCTTAAGTTTAGATATTAGGCTTTCAAATAAAAATGCAAACGTGGTTCTCATCCCTTTTCCTCTTTTGCTAGCCATCAAAAAGACATTCAAAAGCTGTCCACTCCCACTGGCATTTCAAATGTGTATGTAATTCCAGGTACAAGCCTTTCTCTCCTGGGAGAAAGATTGTTAGAATGTAGAAGGGAAAATAGAGTAACAGTTCTAAGATGGTGCATGTTTGCATGTGTATATGTCAAAGTCAACCATGACGTATGTTATAATGTAACTCAGATTTCAACCAGGGTCACCCCTATACCTGGAGAGCTAATCTGATCAGTCTCCCCATTCTCCTGGCCTGATATAAAGTCCAGCGTCATTCTCAGGTTTTCTTTTATCTGTAGGTAGCACACTCTCATCTTGGAACTGTGCCCTTGAGCCCCTGACTCTCGATTCTGGTCTATATGGAGCTAATGTCAACCCAGCACTAGGCTAACCCAGTCAATAAGTTGCTAGAATAGTTTCTGATTTTGTTGTGTTTTGTCTTGCTGTTAAAATTTTGTATTCTCAGAATCTAGTCTAAGATCTGAATGTGCTATTGTCTTCATTAAAAAACAATGACAATGAGTGAAATAAATAATTCTAAGTGAAAAATGATGTAAACAGAGCACGGAGAACCTACAGTTTTAATAACAACAGTTGGTGTTTATTTTGCACCAGCCTGCATGGGCTTTCTCCCCAGGTGTGACATGCACTCCTAGAAGACATCCCTTTGTCCACTTGACCCCCCAAGGAGGAGGTCAGTGGGGCAGGAGATAGTCCTCCCTTAGCCTCACGGATATTTTGAGTCATCAGGATGTTTTAATGCTTTGATCACTCTGGATCCCAGACCCCAGGGTCCTTCTCTAAACCTTCACCCCTACCCTCTCCCCTGCCAGCCCCCTGTTCCTGTCCACCCCCCTCCACTCACCTCTGCCCGCGTTGCCTTTCCTCTCTTCCCAGCTTTGTCTGCCAGCAGCAAAACTCAAATTCCCAAGGGAATAAGGAGACCCTGACTGATGCTGCCGCCTCCTGTTATCGCTGAAGGGAAAACAATGCTTTCCTTTTTTCTTCTTTCTACCATCATTTTCTAGGTGAAGTCGCAGAGAGAGAAGTAATAAGGAACAGAGAGAACAGATTAAATCTTCAGGACTGCAGAAAAACGAACATCTGTGTTTGCTTAGACACCCAAATAGAGCCAGAGGGGCAGGATTGTGGGGTTTTAGGCACAGGCTCTGCAACCTGAGATTTCCTGGTGGGATGCAGCCCAAACACTGCAGGCCAGTGCCAAGAAGCAGGGCACTGCGTCCTCTCTGATTCCAGGATCTTTTACTATAAAATGGAAATAATAGATCCAGTTGTCAACTTCAAAATGTAACCTCCGAAAACAGGTGGTTGTTTTTTTTTTAATAGGTTTGGCAAAACCTGACCTGAAGTAGTCGTCTCCTCCCTATTTCTGTATTTCTGTATGTGCTGGACAAATAATGAGGTTGAGTTCCAGCCTCCAAGGAAAGGATCCATACTCAATAGCACATGCTCCATAATAACTTACTGAAATCTGAAAAATGCTGAATTTGGGGACGCACACATGGTCCTAAGGGTTTTGGATAAGACCGTCCGCCTAGAGGATTTGGGGGATCCTAGACAGGATGGGTAAGAGCTGTATGGGACTGATGTAGATAACTAGTCAATAAACTTCAGCTGTTTTTACCATCATTTGTGGTCTCAAATGAGAGCAGGAGTTTCTGTCCAGCTACAGGACTTCGTGTCGACTATAGGAAGTGCGTCAGACTGTGCAAGTTACACATCAGCTTCTTTTATAGCTCTTGTTCATATGTATCTTGCATGTTGAAGTTGCTTCTGTGATTTCCTTCTTTTCCCCTAACACCCTTTGCCAATACTTTAATTTTCTACAAATACTCTATTTCTGTCTTGAGACAATCAACTTGGGGGGGAGGGAGAGTCGTGTACCTTACAGAACACAGAAAGAGGAAAAATATGGATTCCCTAAAAAATCCATAGCAATTGTGGGAAGACAAATGTATTTTCTATTTAGATGCTAGCGCAATGCCTTCTAACTTCATTTTTTCATCTGAGGAAAATTGCATAATTCATTTTCATGCCTCTCTCTCTCCCCCCCCCTTCTCTCTTTTTTCCTACTCTCTTTATCCCTCTCTTACTTTACCCCTAATCACAGTGAACCACAAAAGTGATCACTGGTGAGGCTGCAAGGCCTTTCTCTAAAATTAGTGATTAATGGTCAAAAGATGCTAAATGTGAAAGAGTGCCTCAGTAAAGGTCTCAGGACATTTTCTCAGGGCCAGGTGCTAAGAACTTCTCAACAGGATAACTTGATGGGGAAATGGAAAAGGAACACATGTGGTCTAACACTAAGGCTATAAATAGAAGATGATTTGGGGGAGAGAGCAGTATTTGTTTTCTCCATTTGTAAGGCCTATTGCCAGAGGTCAGACAAAATTCTTTTCTTTACTTAAACTTTCAGGAGGTTGAATGTGAAGAAGAGGACTTGATTGATTGAAGAAGAGCTTGAAATGAAAAATTAAAATGGTTTTGTCCCATAGTGACAACATAACCAAAACATCCTATTTTAGGACATCATAATGTTTTGTTAAAAAAAAAAACTGGCAGCAAGTTGTGGATTCTTTTTGTGTGTCTGTGCTGACCGAATACGCACTTTATTTTCTGAATAGGTGCTCCATTAAATATTTTAAGTTTCTAGAAGTAGTTTTTGATTTTATTGTGCTTTGTTTGTCTGTTAAGATTTTGGATTCTCAGAGTCTCATCTTAGATCTGAATGTGTTATTGTCTTCATAGAAAAAAATAACAATGAGTGAAATAAATAATTCTTTTTTTAAAAAAAAAAAATTATTTATTTATTTATACAAGCACTGGGTACAGTCAGAAGCACGGGAGGGTGAGAGAATTCACCAGAGCCAGAGCGGGGAGCAGAACAGGCAGACT